TGCTCACGCTGTCTGTCCCTCTCTCTCAAAATAAATAAATAAATAAATAAAACCTAAAAAAACAAAATAAAATAAAATAAAATTTATATAATTAGAGCTCATAACATAAAACTAATTAGAAATAATTATTTCAAATATTCTTATTTACTTATTTAAGGGGACAGCATAAAAGATCATACTCCAGCATTCCAGACCAGAACAGAAAGACAAGAATTCCAAAAGAAGACTTACATAGCCTTATATAATGGCTCACTATTCCCTTATTTTCACTTCTAATTTTAACATATTTACTTACCATTGACCTCAACCGGTCTTAGCAAAAAAGTTTTACTTTCTTTTTTTTAATTAAAAAATATTTTTAATGTTTATTAACTTTTGATAGAGACAGAGCATGAGGTGGGAGGGACAGAAAGGGAGACAAAGAATCTGACGCAGGCTCCAGGCTCTGAGCTTTCAGCACAGAGCCCAACACAGGGCTTGAACTCCTTAACTGCGAGATCATAACCTAAGCCAAAGTCAGGCACTCAACCGACTGAGCCACCCAGGCGCCCCTTGCATTCAAATAGTTACCAATCAGACACTGATATTGATACCTGAACAACAAATATGTCCATTAACTATTAAATTGTTAGCTTCGCAGCTGGAAGCAACAAAATGCCATTGTAAAATACACTATAATTAAGATAATTCATTAATTTTTATTTTTGTCTATCCTTTTTGTTAATACCAGTGAAGTTTTTTTTTTTTTTTAACTCTAAAAGCAAAATAGCCTATATATTGACCCAACTTTACTTTTGGAAGTTAGTAATCAAAGAAACTTTCTTTTCATTTGTAATGTTTTGACCTAGAAAAGAACCATGGCTCTCAAATTTTGAAATACTATCTGGGGTTACTATGATTGTCCACGTTTTTCTTCAAATTCAATCCATATTTGCAGTGAAGAGGATCCAATTCAGAAAAGAAGAGTGGGATTTCAGTCAGAGCAGAAGAAAACACCTGCCATTAATCCCACGAGCACAAGTGGGGTCTGGAGTGTCCGAAGCAGCCACCACAGCTGTGAATAGAGGTTGACCTCTGCTTCAGTTCTGTCTTGAGCCGGCAGGTGCCAGGACGCCATTCTGTCTGCTCTGAAACATCCCCTTTGGAAGTAACAATATTTATTGCTCAATTGTGAATGCAAATTTTTATGTGTTCATGAATTAAGGATCCTTATGTATGGCAAGCTCTCAAAGAGCTCTAGTTGACACATGTGGCTTTGGCATTAATAATTGGACTTTGGGAGGGCGGGGGAAGCCATCTTTGTTCCCCACTGTAAAATTGTTATAGAAAATCTTTGACCTCAAGCATACCATATAACCTAATAAAGTGCCTTTAGAGGACTGGTACGATGAGGCGCTTGGCCTCTAAAATCTCACCAGCAAAATCTCTATAGACATTTGACAAATGCATATAACAATCAAAATTGAGGTAAATAACATAGAATTTAAATCAAGACTAGAACCTCCCCTGTATTCCTGAAACATGATGGTAGGTATCCTTTCATTCTCGTTTTGGGTTTCCTATGCCCCACCAAAAATAAAACTCTGCTTGCAGAGCTTTAGGGAACATTTTATGTGTGTTAAAAATGACCAAAAAAATTCTTTAAACTTAATTTTGCAAAGGTAGACACACAGTCTATACCAATTACTCACTACTTAATTCCCCAAAAACATTAATAAAATAGTAAAATTTTACTGAAAACATAAAGAAAAATAATTTTCTTGGTTTCTCTTTGTTTTTAATGGCAAAATTACTTGGGGGGTAAGAGAGACAAGAGTATGTTTCATTGATTCCATTATCTTAGCTCCATCTCTTCCTCCCTGACCCTCCACAATTCTTCTTTTTCTCATTTCAAGCTTGAGATCTTGGGGCCAACTGCCCAGGACACTGTGGGAAATTCAATTGGAAGGCATTTCAGACGGCACCTGTTGAAGGCAGGCACATGGTCATCATTCTTTATGAGAATCTGGTTCTAGAGCTATGTCTTATCATCCTTATCATCCTAACCTATCATCACACAGACTAGGCTAAAGTCCTGGCTAACTCACTTGCAAGAGACCTAACCTTGATAATCTTTGAGTTTTATTTTTGGCATCTATATCATAATGCTTTCTTCACTGGAGAGGAAGAAGATTAAATACAGTAACAGATGAAAGTTTTTTGTTGATGGCAAAATATATAAACCATAAGATGTTATATTATTGTTATTATTGATTTCATGATAACCTCACAACTGTTTCCAGAAGTGTCACGACTGAGAGTAAGAACTTGGTACAATTTCTCTGTAGCTGATACTTAGCAGGAGCTATTTTAGTAGCGGAGTATTCCTACATTTTCACCTGAAGTGACATACGAGTCTCTACCAACACGTAAGAAGAGGTACTTTGCTAGCACCTTGGATGTGCTTTTGGTGTAGACTCATCCTTGTCTCCCAGCCCTGCTAAAGGTGAAGACGAGAGATTGAAAGTAACTCTGAAATGCACGAATTCCTCAAGGGCCCTGAAACATGACTTCATCTTTAAGAGCTAGGGAGGAAGAGTTTTAATGCCTTCAGAATTAGTATTTCCTGCTGGTATTTTTGCTCAAAGGTAAAGAAATTCTCTGTGTGGCTTAGGGATAGATAGCTGCCCAACAAAATAGAATATCCTACAAAAGCCACATCTATATGATTATCTGGTTTATGACAAAGGTGACACTGTACTACAATGGGGAAAAGATGCGTTTTCAATAAATGGTGGTGGGTAAATTTGATATTCACATTGGAGAAAAAAGCATCTTGACTTTGACCTCACATCATGCTCAAAATCAGTTCCCCATGAATTCAGATCTGAGTGTGAAAAATAAAGTAATAAAGCTTCTATTTTTTATTTTATTTAGTTGTTTTTTTTTCCTTCAATTTGGGCATGGTGCCATCCCTAACAATAAGTTTATCACGCAGTGTTATGTTAGTTTCAGGTGTACAATATAGGGATTCAACAATTCTGTGCATTACTCAGTGCTCATCATAGGTGTACTCTTAATTCCCTTCACCTATTTCACCCATCTCCCCTACCCACCCACCCCCACACACCTCTCTGGCAACCACCAACTTATTTTCTATAGTTAAGAGTCTGGTTTTTTATTTGTCTGTTTTTTCTTTGTTAGTTTTATTTCTTTTTTTAGGTTTATTTATTTATTTTGAGAGAGAGCAAGAGAGTGAGTGCCAGCAAAGAGTGGCAGAGAGAGAGGGACAGAGAGACAATCCCAAGCAGGCTCTGCACTGCCAGCACAGAGCCTGATGTGGGGCTTCATCTCATTAACTGTAAGATCATGACTTGAGCCAAAACCAAGAGTTGGATGCTTAACCAACTGAACCACCCAGGCACCCTGTTAGTTTTGTTTCTTAAATGCCACATATGAGTGAAATCATGTGGTATTTGTCTTTCTCTGTCTGACTTATTTCACTTAGCATCATATCCTCTAGATCTATCCATGTTGTTGCAAATGGGAAGATTTCATTATTTTTTATAGCTGAGGAATATTCCATCTCTTTATTGCTTATCTTAATTTAAAAAATTTTTAAATTCTACTATAGTTAACATACAGTGTTCTATTAGTTTCGATGAGACTTTAGCTTTTAGAATAAACATAGAAAAACATCCTTATGCCTTCGAGTAATCCACAAAGATTTCTTAAGTGGAACACAAAAAGGGAGAATTATAAAGAGGAAAATAATGTTAAATTGAGTTTTATTAAAATTAAGAACTGCTATTCATCAAAGCTGCTGTTTAAGATAACATAAATACGACACACAGAGTGGGAGAATATATTTGCAATAACTGAAAGAAGACTCATATTCAGAATGATGTAGAGATCTCTCTCTCTCTCAATATGTATACTATATAAAGAACTCTAGCAAATCTAAAGGAAAACTCAATAGAAAAAGGGCAAAAGATGTGAATAGATACTTTATGGGTAAGGATGCAAAAATGGACAATACATGCATTAAAAGGAGTTCAACTTATTAATCACTGGAGAAGTACAAATTAAAACACTATGTGAACTACTACACCTTCCACCAGTATGTCTAAAACAAAGATGGAAAACATCAAATATTGACAATGACATAGGGAACTGAAATTCTTGTACATTGCTGATGAGTGTATATTGTTAGAACCACATTGGAAAACTGTTGTCAGTATCTACTAAAACTGAACATATTGGGTATTTTCTACAACCTAACAATTCCACTTCTAGATTTACACCCAACAGAAATGCATACAGTTTTTAATCAAAAGACATAAACTAGGATGTTTCTAGCAGCACTGTTTTCAGTAGTCAAGATCCAGAAACTCCTGGAAAAAAATGGCCATTAAGCAAATAGGAAGAACAAATAATGGTTTATGCACACAATGGAATATTGCAAAACAGTAAGAACAAATGGTCTATGGCTAAACACAAAAATACACATAAATTTTACATATACTAAGCAAAAGAGGTCAGATTCATACTGGTATAATTTCATTTACATAAAGTACAAAAACAAACTATTTTGTCAGAGGTCAGAAATAGTGGTCACTGTTGGTTGAGAGTAGTGACAAGAAAATGTCAACAGAGACCCTTTTGGATTTCCTTACCTGCACTCTACTTGCATAGGTGTGTTTAGCTTGTGAAGATTTATTCAGCATATTATGAATTCAGCATACTTATGATACATGTACTTAGTGTACTTTTCTCCGTGTGTGTGTAGTACAATGGGATAGTATATGTAATATACTGGATATATAATAATACCAGTATTAAACCATTTTCACATTGGAACCATCTTACAATTATAGTTTAAAACTCAAAATTCTCTGAGAAACCTCATTGTCAAGTATACTTACATGCCATTTGCATGAGTCTTGCAACTAACTAGCTGATCTGTTCAAGCTACAGTTTTTGTTTTTAACTTATTTAAATTTTTTTAATTTTTTTTTTAGGGCCCTCCTGGTCCAAAAGGTGATAAGGTAAGAAACTGTGTAGCTGAAACAAATTAAGTCGGTGGAAGTCCATTGGTATGATCTATGCTATGTTATATTTTGGTCTTTTTAATGAGCCTCACATACAGACTTTATGCTAAAACTATCTATCATCTCATCTTTCTACTCTACAGGGAGAACAAGGTGATCAGGGACCTCGGGTAAGTTCTATTCTTCCAATCCTGGGCAAAGAATTGGTTTTCAGCTCCAAACTTATTGAATTAAAGTAGCCCTGGCTTTATAACTGCCTTTGTATCATGGTTTAGTAATAGCTGGGAAAAATACCATACCACTTGTGAGTGAAATAGCCTTAATAATAACTAATGGGTGTATCCTGTAGCATTACATTAATTTGATACTGTAAACAAGGCACTGTATAGCAATTAGCTCTCCTGATGAAAGGCCAGAGTCACTAGTAAAAAGTCAATAGCAACCACCCATCCAATGGCTATTGGATCCTTCAGATTTGCATGCATTGTTTTGCAATATAGAAGCCATTTGGATTCCTGTTGAATTTGGCCCTTTTTCTGCAGTTAAATTTTATATGCTATTGCATAAATATGTTATATTATAGATGAAAATATTAATTCATTTTATATTTTTATTCTTCATCACAAATTTGAGTTACTTATTTGAATTTCTTATTTTTAAAGATTTTTAAGCAGATAAAAGGTGTAATATAAATTTAACATTCCAGGGAGGAGGGGCATTCTTTTATTCTTCTCAAACATGGCTTTTTTAACCATTATAACACAATGGTGAATGCTTTGTTGTTACCTTGGTAGTGCCAAGTCCTCTGCTTCACATCTGTGCCTTATTACCCAAATGTTCAGACATACTGTTCCAATGATGTAGTGGCTCCGTTCAGACATACCTCTCAATTTTCTCATGTCACAATGCACAAAAGCAAGTATTTGGTTGAAGAGTCATTTTTCACAGTGAAAAAGTGCATTTAAAACTTTCAGGTTGAAGACAGAAACTGTGAAGGTTTTTTGTAAAATGCACTGTGTGTAGATAATTATTGAATTCATTTATACTGCGGTAGGGGTTTTATTACAAAAGATGTAGCTGATGCAAACTTAAAAAGTTTGTAGCCTTATCTCCTCATGTTTATTAAATTAGATAAAGGGTATGCTATGATTTATTTTCCTTTCCATTTTTTCAGCCATTTCTTTATAGAAAATAATGATTGTGCCACAGAGCATTTCGTTTCTCATGGCAATTATTCTAGCTGATGACTAGCTTCAAGCTAAAAGCTCATGTTAATGGTCAAGGAAATTAAACATCATGATATCTGTCATGGATGTGAATGGAATAAAATTATCATTACCTTAAGTGATTAGAATATAGCCACTTGTTCTATATGTGGTGATTATTTCGCATGGCATGTCTCCATGTATGGAGTATCATTTCTTTCTACACGCAATATCAAAATCACTCAACCTGCCCTTTCTAGGTAAGGGGGAAACTGTTTCCATTCAGAGAAATCTTCTTTTGGCAAAGGAAGTGAAGGGGTGGTTCACAGCTTAGCTGTCGTCAGTATGCACGCAGTCCTCATTTTCAAAAAGGTGTGTTGGCTTTCATCGTTCTAAAAAGTGATGATTGATTATAAAGCTAGGCCAAATTTTCAGGGTGAAACCTGAAACCATGTGAAATTCACCTGGTTTCATGTTGCATTACAAACTAAGACTTGGACCAGGTTCCTTGCAAGTTTGGCCAAAGTTCATGAACTACTTTGACGAACCCAGACTGCCTTTCATAGAGATTTCAGCCAGTTTTCACACTGACTGAGGCCAAGTTTCACACGATTCAGGGGCCATTTAGCATTTCAGGTGGAAAGTGGCAAAAATGGATCCCATTTTCTCCAGGATTTTGCTTTTTATTGAAGGTATTTGGATTGAACTTATCATGCAGGATGAATCTTCATGGTTAAAAATCTAAATGTCCTGGGAAGTATATGTGAAAGGGAATGAGAACCTACCAAATTGCCTGTCTTTTTTCAGATTCCTAATTTGGAAACAAGACAGGTCACATTCAATGCTCTCTAAAAAATAAATACTACTTTCTGGTAAGAAAGTATTAGCTACTTATTAGGAAATTTATCATACAAAATAGTAAAATGAAGGCTTTATATTTCCAGAAAAATCAAAAGTAAGTTAGAACTGGAAAAGTCTTCAATAGTAAAGAAAATTAACTTTACCTGTATCCTCTGTAAGCATACTATTCCAGCTGATGCTCATGGCGACTCTCTTTTCTAAAATGTAAATCTCTATGTTTGAATACCCTGTCCATTTTTATCCTATCATAGCTTTTGAATTCAACTTTTTACCATTTGTTTCAAGCAATTTATTTATTTCTATAATTAACTTAACAATATGACCCTCCACCATTTCAGTTCTTTGTTAGCTCACCTCCTGTCTCCTTGAATATGGGTTGTTGGGTTTTTTGTCCTTTTGGTTTCCCAAATGTCCAGCAGGAATATATAAGGCCATAGCAAAAAAAAAAAAAATTAAGGTAATATAGAAATTAAGAAGGCAAAACTATTTTAAAACACTTGTACACATATTTAGCAATATACATTGAACATCTGTTATCTTCAAGCTACCATGCTTTATACTATAGAAACTATACATGAGTTTACTTTTTCTCTCTTCTACTACACCAAATTCAACCTACTATTATCTCACGTTCTTGACTACTGCAGCAGCTTTCCAAGTAATCTTGCTTCTACTCTTGACCTGTATAATCCATTTTATACACAGCAGCCAGAGAGATAATTTTCTATTGTAAATTAGATCATGTTACTCCCTGCTTTAATTCTTAGAATGAAATCCAAACCACTTTTCTTCGACTCCATTGTCTGTCAAGATTTGGTCCTTGCTCACGTCTATAACCTCATTTCACACCAGACTTCCTTTCCGCACTCTGTGGTCCAGCCACATACTCCTCTATGTGTACTTCAAACACATCACACTTACTCCTCACTTGATGACTTTCTATTTGCTGTCTTTTGGTCTTCTTGTGATTGGGTTCTCTTTATCACTGCTATTTCATCCCGAATACCTTTGTGGGGAAAACTTCCCCAAGTATCCAATCAAAATCTGAGATTATCCTATTTTGTGTATTTATTCACTTGTTTGTACTTTGCAAAGCATTCCACTCCATTTACATAAACTCCATGAGAGCAAGGACTTGGTCTATCTTGTTCATACCACCATCACCTAGAACAGTAAGGACTCAGTAAATATTTGTTGAATGTTAGAATTAAATATTATTACATCATTACTGCCCTCAAGGAGCCTATAGTTTCATGGGTGCCTGAATAAGAAAACTATGTGGTTGCATGTTTATAAGCCTTGAGTAACTGTATCAAGAAATGCTAGGTAAATGAACATTTTTTATTTTAAATAATCACTGGAGACTGGAAGTGGTGACACTTGAGCTAAGACTGGATAAATGGATAATCTTTAGAAGAGAAAGTGAAGAGGAAGATCTTACACATTCCAGATAGAAGCAATAGTACAAACTATATTACACAAGTGGGAAATGATAGGATTCATTTAAGGACAATAATATTTTATTAGCCAAGAGTATATGTTAAATATAGAAAAATTACATCATATAAGGCTGGATTTTTTTATTAAAGTTATATTACGGAATGTTTTGAATGTTTAAGTGTGAGAGGCAAAAAGGAGACAATGAATATTTTTTAGCACATTATTTTATACATAGTGCGACCAGACGCTTTGGTGTTACTACCAAATGCTCTTTCTGAAAATTTACTTGATAATGGTGTCTTGAATAAAGTGGAGTTGCAAGAGACTGAAAGGACCCAGAAACTGTCAGTCATCCAGGACAAGGTCATAAGAGCCTGGGTTATAAGGATAATGTCCAGTCCTCAGTGGAGAGGTGAACAGAGGAGATGGGCTGGCTCCATCTGCAACATTGGGTATCATTTGAGGGAAGGGGCCACACTGAGCAGAGAGCTCAGTGTCAGAAGGAGAAACTCAGCAGGGGGTGGGGCTATGTTGGTAAGCCAAAGAAGAAATTCCAAAGAAGTCACCAAAATATGGGAGAGATCTCCATGTTTTTTACGGGGCCTACCATATGAGTTTATTGTTCTCATATAATTAGGAGTTCAGAGAAAGTAGTTGATGGTATTATTTATATAATTCAATGATGTAACTATGGAAGTCTGTGAATCTCTTGGCCTTTCCTTCATGACTGTAAGAAGACTGCTTCAGGTCCAACCATGAAGCAGTAAGGAAAATATAGGAAGAGGAATCTGTATAAGAAAATGTCATTTTTCCCATGAATTTCATAGCAGACTTCAGCTCATGTCTCATTAGCCAGACTGTGTCACATAGTTACCTCACAGCTAGAAGTGAACCAGAGAGAATGGGGTTGGAAAGGAAAGTTGGGTCATGTTGTAACAGAACCAATGTGAATTTGCTCCTTGGTGAGTTATAGATAGAGACGATACCAGGTGGAGTTGTCCTACAAAGGAAACTATTTGCAGCAAATAAGGAGATTACAAGGAATAATTTCCAAAGCATGACTCCCTGAATAGGGATGAGTGGGTTCCTTTTGTTTAGGGTTAGGATAAATATTCAGAAAGGAGAGATTTGTCATTTCATGTAAAGGTGGGCATAAGTTTCAGCAGGCATACTTAGAAACCATGTCTAGGGGCGCCTGGGTGGCTTAGTCAGTTGAGCGTCCGACTTTCGCTTAGGTCATGATCTCACGGTTCGTGGGTTCGAGCCCCGCGTCGGGCTCTGTGCTGACAGCAAGCTCAGAGCCTGGAGACTGTTTCAAAATATGAATCACACTCTCTCTGACCCTCCCCTGCTCACGCTATCTCTCTCTCTCCTAGAAATAAATAAAACATTAAAAAAAAAAAAAAAGAAACCATGTCTATACATGCATCATATAGTGTGATAATGAAACTTGTGCTCCTCCTTGGGCAGAGAATTTTAACATTATAATGAGGTAGTGAGTGGTACTATTGGGGAAGGAAAAGGGGCTATGGGAATGTTCTAACAGCCAGTGTAAATTGGATGGAGCCTTGAGCTCTTTATTTCTGCAGGGTTTTGCTTGAATGCAGAGTCTTGCTTGTTCAGAGGCTGACACCATATCAGTTGATGGTGAGTCCCAGTATCTG